TTTTTTTTCCTCCTTTATCATGTTTAGTTGCTTCTTAGAGACAGTAATAGAAAATAAGTCCATAAAAGATATTTACCGACAGAGGAAAAACTGGGAAATTTCTCTCTTTTTCAGAAATCATAACTACCAAAGAAATTATGACTGTAGGAGAACAGAGCTAAGCTTGTCTATGAGCTCAGGGATCTTATGTTCCAATGCTGAATTTGACTGACAAAAAGGATGATGTTTGAGACAAGAACTGCCTTTTTGTCTGGCAACACAATAGGATCTTCTTCCTTGATGGATTCTCAGCACTACTCAGTATAATAATATGATAATTGGTCCCAAAGAAGGAATGAGTAAGATTGGATGGTGGTCTTTGGGGGCCCAGTTGTGTTATATCTAATCTAATTATGTTTGATACTGACTTTTTAATACATATGGTAGCTATTTCCTTGGCTTGGATCTAAGGCTTATATGCAAGCTTGATATTTGCTTGGTGTCTGTTCTAAAAGCATACAATTTTTTTTTCCTTAGGAGGAACCCCAGCTATATCTGTCTCATGTCATACTGTATTCTAATTCAAAACTAAAACTGATTTGTTCCAGAAGATGTCTTGAAGCATAAATATGTTGTAGCTTGTGGAAATGTGGGAGGTGTGATGGAAAGAGCAAATGTCTATAGATTGTACTTCAAAAAACCACTGCAACTTTCTACAGAAAAGACATAGTAAGTTATTGCTGCCTTGGAGCAACAATCCTCAGCAGGCATTCACCCTTTTGCATGAGACAATATAAACATTTTAGTGGATTTATGAGCATAAAGGAGCATCTGGAGATGATGAGATTGTGCAAGACTAATTTTAGAGTCTGAATTAAACTAACTCCATAGCTACAAAAGTCACTGCCATGTTTTCTGCTTTTGTTTAAAAAATGTGTATGGACTACAGCAATACCAGATTTCCTAACCCAAAGGAACAGAAAAGTCTAGTGCACTACTGCTGGTGGTGGGGTGATGGGCACTGGCTTACGGAGGGGATTACAAAAATCCTTAATGAAAGATAGTTATGCAATTGAATTTCTGAGGCAAGTTTCTTCTCAGCTGTTAGCATCTGGGTTCCATTTTGCCATGAATAGGTGACTGTCTCTTGGATTTATTTATGTTTCTCACTTTTTAATAGGGAGTATAGCATTTATTCCTGTTTGCAAGGAGGCAGCTGTTGCTTCTTTTTGCTCTTGCATTTCACCATTGTCTTCCAGCTTCAAATAAGCATATTATAAATGAAACTTATTAATAAAATTAGTGCTGTGTGATGTGCTAATGCAGTGGGTTGGGAAATAAATTTATTTGAAGTCAGTTTCAGTTTTGGAAATTCAACCTGCTCCCCTGAAGTAACTGAAAAACTGAAATGTATGTTCTATTTTGTGTGTAATTTCTTCTTTTTTATCTTTCCCCAGTGACTCTTACTAGTGAAAGGCTTCCAGCTTAGCAGTGATGGTTATTGAAAGTTCAAATAATAGAAGGCTCAGTTTGTGAAGAAATGCACAGCCTTTTAGGAGTCAGAGACTCCAGTGCCATTGACTTGCAGTGTTATGTCATAGTTTTGGCCATCATCTCTTCTAGAAGTGGCTGATGCACAAGTGGGAGCTGGAAGTTACTGATCAGCTCACACTGATTAAAAAGTAGATCACAACCTGCACAGTTCTTGACATGCACAATTTTCTGGGACCCCCTGACAACTTACTTAAGTCTCAGGGTTGAAAAGGATAAAATCCTGACTCCTTTCAAATCAATTAGAATTTTATAATTAGCTTCAAGTGAGGAATCATGCAGTCCTAAAGTACTGGGCCAAAGCTGTGCTTCTAAACATAGAAGCAACAAGGTTGAAAATAAGTCACTCTAATTGAGTAGCTGAAATCAAAATGAAAAAAAAAAAACAAAAAAGCCTTTGCATGATATGTTCAATATGCTTTTTACCAATTCCCCAGTAAAAGAAAGGTAGTTCATGGCCAGAGAAGCCTGTTTTCCCCTGAATCCCTTTTTTGAGGTTAACAGATCTTTGATATTTAAAACAGCATGTGAGTCTGGTGGAAGTTTTCAACATGAAGTAATGAAGCAGTTAGCTCTTTTTCTTCCACAGATTTTCCATAATTACTAGTGGGAATGCCAACAAAATTTCACTCCTCTCTTCTTTTGACCTATATTTTTTGTGAAATAGATATCTCAACACTACTGAGTTTCTAAAAAATGCACCTGAAACCTCCAGTTATGTATTTGATCAATATTGGCCAACAACTTGAAGAGGTTTAATTGGCATAAATGTTCATGGTGTGACTGCATACACACTCAGCTCCCTAACCTCAAAATCCAGAGTAGAAAATGAATCTCCTATTTCTAACAGAGAATCCTTTTAAGACCAACCAGAGATTTTGTACAATAGGAACTGCAAATATGCTTTGCTGTACTAATGCTTCCTTTATTAGACAATAAGAATTCTAAACATCTTTCTGGAAGGAAAGAGACTTGTATTTGTCAGCAAAGCTCTACTAGTTACTGGTTCCAGTGCTTCCCTGTGTTTCTTAAATTGTTGCCTAAAGCTGAAAAAAGTTTGTTTAAAAGTGGAAGAAATGCCAGATACCACCTTCCTCTCCTGCAGCCACCCTGGAGCAATTCTGACGATAGGACCCATCCTTACAAACTGAAACAAGAATAAATTTTCAATCAGCTCTTCAAGGAGAAAGTTGTGCAAGCCTTCTGCTAGTTATACTGTGTTTGAATGAAAAGCATTTGTGTTCCACCCCTAAGATTTCTTTTATGACAATGTTTAGTGTCTATCCACCAGAGTCTATCTGCATCTTGATCTTGTCCTGCCTTGGATATGTTCCTTGCTGTCTTGGATATGTTCCTTGCTGGCTTCACTGAGAACATCCTTCACTTCCTGTCATTTTCAAATTTTGTCTGTTGATTTGGCCATATTACCTTCTCTACTGCCTCAAGGAGCTGGCAAAGCTTCACTCCAGCCTGTATTTTGCTTTTTATCTTGTATTTCTGTTCTTTTCCAGCCATGCTAAATGCAGTGTTGTAAAAGTCTTTCTAGAGATATTGCTGCAATTTTACCTCTAGTGCAGGGCAAGGTGAGGTGTGAGTTCACAAGGCAAACACCCTCCTTGCTGAGGAGTCACATTTTCTTCAGGGGGCCTACAAATTCATATTGGGATAAATATTTGTCTGGAGAGAGAGAGGAGAGGTACTGAAAAAGCTGTTGTCTTTGTCTCACCTATCTGCCATTTTAAGATTTCAGACTTCTCAGGGGTAGGTAACTGCATTTCTTGTAGTGGTTGCCCATTCTTTCATGGCATTTTGGGCATAATGCATCTGCTCTTCCATTTCAATTTTCATGTTATAGAGGAACATTGACATTTGTTGTACTAGCCATTAGTCATTTCACTTGTAACCCATATTCATTCAATGATAGGTTATTTAAGATCTTTTCCAGGATCTTTTCTAAAACTTTTAGAAAAGATTACTTATTAATGTACTTGAGGACCAGTGAGAGGTGAGGGTAGTTAGTGAGATTTGAGCTTGTGCAAAGTGAATGACTTCCACTGGGTTTTGGTAGGAGGCTGTTGCACAGCTCATGGAAGTCTATTGGTGCCAACAGCCTGTGACAGAACAGGCTCAGCTTTTACAGAATAGATTTTTTTTATTATTCTTTTTTTCCATTTCCGTTCAGTAATTTTTTCTCCATTATCAGTATTGAACTGGAGATACCCAGCAGTGCTTACTGAAGGCATTCACATGTCAGGAGCCAGACTTTCCACACACTTTTATATCAACTGTAAAGGGTTGAATTCATTATCTGTGCCTTTTGCTTTTAGGTGAGTGTATTCTTCCAATTTTTTTTTACAGATTGGGGAAGTATCATGACATGCAGTTTTTGAGACTAGCCAGCCACCTTATGTGGCAAGGTGAGAGGAATCAAAGTTTTGGTTTAAGTACTGTGTCTAAGTTTAGGTGTAAATGCTGAAAACCTGTAGGTGCCATGTTGAACTGTACAACCTGCCCAGTGCTTCAGAAGCCTCTATTGATTTTAAAAGTGGATGTGCTTTGTTTCTGTTGCTCCAACTCCTCCTTGACTTTTTTTGAATTAGAAAAAACGTGCCAACCTCCATGCCATATGCCTGTTTCTACTAATGCCCATGGGTTTTTTTCAGTCTCATGTGCTTTCATATGTAAATTGGCTATCAAATTCCACCCTCAGTTTTAACCTGTAATAACTTCATTGCTTACAGTGCAATTTGCACTGGTGCAATTTAGATCAGAATCTGGATGCATATGTAAATGTGTGCTCTTATGCACATGTGTAATGCCTTCTTTTTACATATAAAAATGCCATATATATATATTTGAACTTTCTTTTTACAGTTGAAAATGAGAGGGAGAATCTATTGATTAATTATATATTGATCAATTTTAGAGCACCTAGCAAGAGGAAAATAAATCTTTTGAAGTAGTAGGTGGATTTTTGGAGTCATGCACACACACATACACCTCTTTACAATGTATTTGGATTCTTGTCTGTCCCAAGCAAAAACTTTTCTTCTTCCCCTGACTTGCAATTCTGAATTTTTTGTGAGCCTCAAATCCCATTTTTAGTTGGGGAAAATGGAGGCAGAGACTGCTTTAAAAAAAAAAGAAAAAAGTAAGAACCCCCCCCCACACACACTGAACAGCTACCCCAGCCCCCACTTCTATACCACCAGCCCAAACATGGAACATATTTTAGCAGAAGTGCCCCAGCTCTATCATATGTGCTGTGCAGAGTCATCATGGCCATGGTGCATAGCTGAGAGCCGGAAAGCAAACAGCTGCTGTAGCCTGATTTGAGTTAAAATAGTGTCAGTGTTTAGTCTGGCGCAGTGCTTCAGGAGAGATTGGCAGCTGGGTCAAACAAAGTCATTCCATTGGCTCCCTTCCCAGTAAGCTTCTGCTAGTATTTAGGTACTAGTGCAGCCTAGGCCCCTTTTCTCAGGGATAGCCTAACATCTGACCGCACCCTCTTTGCTTTTTAAAAAATTCCTTTTCACTCTTTAAGATAAATCCTCTATTATACAATCTGCCACTAATTGTGTGTTAAGACTGTTTTTCTCTCGAAAGCTGATGCATCCTGCTCTCAACGTGGTCTAGAAAGTGGGCTGTTACAGTACTGGATTAATAAAAGGGGCCTTTATGGTTTGTGAAAGAATATCTCTGTGCTTAGACAGGAAACTTTTTGATCCACAGAAAAGCCAGACGACATCCTAGGTAAGGCTGTGTATCAAATCTGCTTTTATGGGAGAGTGGGGCAGTGAGCGCTGTTAATTGCAATTGCTTCAAGTTTTGCATGCCCATTTTGATAAGCTTTTTAGAAAGTTTAGAAAATAGCTGCTCCTGCGTCTCAAGCCCTTTCTCTCCTCCCTCCTCCTCACTCCTCCTTTGCCTTTACTGCCTGCAAAAGCTTGTAATGATCTGCTTAGTTTTCGCTGGGATCTGCGCGGACGCTTCGCTTCTTTTTGGAGAGGGGTTTCTTGCAGAGGCGCAGGGCAAAAAAGTTCTGCGGTCGGACCCAAACGCTGTTAGAAGTGGAGTGGCTGGGGAGAATTTACAGGGAAAGCTTTCCACTGTTACAGACTGCCTGTGCAATCATTTAAAAGTAGTTGAAAACTGCTTTGAACTAACAAGGGTTTAATTATGGAAAAGTTTAACGTGGCGATGGAAGGAATATTAAGTAAGTTGTCTTTGTCTCATACTTTTTAATTTTAGTTGTTGCTTTAGCCTGTTGGGTCACATTTTTTGTCAGCGCTGAAGGCTGCCATGAATTGGTAATGAGGGCCCCTTTTGCACATGATTTTGGCACTTGGCCAAAATCAACTTCCCAAGGCAAGCTTTCTCTAAAAGAACCTGAAGCATTTTTTTGTGATTAGGAATCATGTCTGAAAGCTGCCACAACCAGTTGTGTAGGCATGTCAAAATGACTTTATACAGTATATCTGAAGCATTCGGGGGGGGGGAGGGTCTGTATTTTCCTCGTGTACCAAATTGTTGCTATTATCATTCTAAATTTCCGCAGCTTGCGCACCTCCAAAAACCAGGCTACAGAGAGCTAAGACATAATGAGGATCGTTGGTATCTTTGTATTTTTCAACATGCCAAAGCAGCACTAATTGTCACATTTAAGCAAGATACAGTATTAGGGGTTGCTTAAAACACTTGTGGATGTAAAGCAGATGAATCTTTAAACTTTTAATCTCACTAAATTACTCTCAGTGAACAGTAAGTAATGATATTTTCGAGAAGTTTCTTTGTTTGAATTGCATAAATGGAGCTTTTTAATATATCTATTTTAAAAAGTACATGCCTGGGTCCACTGGGGGAAAATTTTCAAGGAAAATCTTGGATATGCCTTTGGATTTATCCCATTTCCTTGAAATCTGGGTATGGGACTGATCTGCGAGACAGGGAACAGGAGCTGGGTAGTCCTTTGTTGTTAAAAAGGGGGAAAGGGAGTTAGTCTAAACATTAGTAAGGAGCTGCAAAAGTTCATGTTTCAAGTGTGCTTGGAGTTCAGAAATTGTGGAGATCATCAGTGTAACAAATGAGTTATTCCTTACTGATATTATATAAACAAGTTTGGCACTGTAAGGGAATACATTATTACTGCACACTTGAACGTTCTGCGAATTTACTCTGTGAATTGGAAATTAAGGACCTTCTATTACATCCTGTGTATGCTCTGCAGTGTCTTTTCCACATGTGTTCAGTGTAAAGACAAAATGCATTGTGCAGCACTTTTGTCAGGTATTTTTTATTTTACATTTCTGCCCTTGTATGTGGCTGTAGCTGAGGATTTGCTCGCTCCTTCCTATGTGTGTTGTTTATTTATAAGCAACACCATCTTTCGGCAGCAATATCGATATGGAACAGCCCTTTCCCACCTTCCCTGCCCCCAGCCTTGCTCCCTTTGGCTGCTCTTAAAATGGGCTTTACAGGTATTGTCTTTCTTCTGCTAAACTGTATTTTCTGTGAGGTGTTGGGGGTGTGTGGGTGTGTGTGTGGGTTTCCTTTATTACATAATGCAAGCCACAGCTACAGTGGGAGAAAGCTCGAGCTTTACAGACTCCTCAGAATCGGTACTTTCATCTAACTTGGCGGGGAGAGTTTGTTCATTGCTACGTTGCAGCAGACTGAGTTACAGTGCTCAAAAGCCTCCTGCAAGTTTAGCTATAACTCGTTGTATTTGCAATGAAAATAAGCAGACAAGATGAACATGTTGCAAAAGAATAGGTGGAGAATTATAGCAAAATAAAACTCATATAAATTAATTGTGTTTTTCTGGGCTTTTGAAAAGCTTTACAACAGAGGAAAAACACGTCACTGTTGAATCATATTTTAATGTAAAGCATTGCCAGAAAATTATCATACTTGGTGCAAATGTAAGTGGGATAGTAGTGTTTTTGCAAATCATTATGGAACTTATTTGCTGGTACATGGAAATGATTTCTCCTGGGTTACTGAGTTAGGTACTGTTAATTTAAAATATGCACATACCCGCCTTGTTACTGCAAAACTAACTTGAAAATGTTTTACTCTGATATTCCTAGTTTTGCCTAGAAGTTTTTACTGGGAAATAATGGGCACATGCTAGTGTACTACTTCAGAGGTTTTCTTTTCTATTTTGGTTGTGAAGGGTTGTATTATAAATCACAGAAAGTTATTCTCCAGAAACTTTGTGAATAGTTTTTAAATCTAGAATAATTTTTTTTAAAACATGACTGAAATGTAAAATCTAATATATGAAGCAACAGTTTTTTTAAAAAACTTAAAACTTATAAATTTGGCTTTTGATTGCAGAGACCATTAACATTTTCCTTCATGAAGAAATCTATCGTCTATACGAACGTGCAAAAGAGTCCTGTTTTCATCAGATAAATCAGCATTCTGCCTTCTTAAGTTTAAAGTTTAAAATGCATAGACACTGCATTATATTTTTAAATCCAAAACCAGTAGATTATTTTTTCCTTTATAAAGAGGATGATAAATAACTGGTTAGTTACTTATTCTGCCTTTAGAAAAGGTGAAGAATATAAGGTATTCTCCATTTTGCTAATTTTATTTTTAACAGCCCCTAGGAATAATGTGTCTCTAATCTTCCTACTTGGAGGGTTTTATGTTTTATGTTTGTTTGCAAACACATAATGAAAGAGTGCAATTATTAAGCTTAACTTCATTGTAATTTTGTATCTTAGATTTTTGCTCCATAGAAATGCTGAAGTCTCAGTTACCCATTTCAGTGCAGTAAATCAATATATTTTCCATTCAGAAAAAAAATTCTTGCTTTTTAGTTAGCACTTTTTTTGATCATCAGACATTAATATTTCTTTTTTTTTTTTGTAGTGCAGTGTAGTGGTGCATATTGTTATGCTTTTTGAATAAAGGTTACAAGTGCATTTATGAAACGTTTTCACTTCTATGACAGAAAAAGAACTCTAAACATCGTGGAACACTTTCAGTTTATCAAGAAAACACTGCTCTTGTAAAAATAGCTTTATTTCTCAGTAGATTCTGCTGCATGTTTTAAAACTTTAGAAGTGAAACAGGGCTGTTTTGTTTTGTCTTATGGGTTTGTTGGTTTTCTGGGTTTTTTCTTAGCAAGGGTTTAATTCATATAAACTAAGCACTTTGTTCTATATGTTCTAAATTCCAGCAACGAGATAAATAAATTGCTGGATTGGATGGAACATAATTATTGAATTTTGGCAGAACTTCAGTGAACTCTGCCATGAAAGATTAATGTGCGCAGTGCGCTCTTAGATTCTAAAGTAACAGAGTAAGATAAGGGGAGTGCATAACAGGCTCCAACCTTTGTGGTTTAGAGAAAATAGAAAACCATGGGCAAATGTTAACTTTTGGTATAAACTGCTAATGATAATGTTTTGTCATCTGGGTGATAAAAACTACAGGAGTAGACAAGAAAATCCAATTTAACAAAAATTCTCTCCACTTCTTTCTTTCTCTGCTTCCCATTTTTCAGAATTAGAATAGCCACAGTTGCTCTATGTTTGTAGGAAAAGGAGAACAGAGCAGGCAGGGTACTTACAGTATCCAGCAATATAAAGTCCTGATGGAATCCCTCCACATCTGCTTTGTGTCGTATGTGGGTTTTTACTACAGTCACAATTTTTGTTTGTGATTATGGTGCATTGATTTCAGAATACAAGTAAAATTGTACTGGCTGGATGAAGGCTGCATGGAGTTATAGTAGAGGTTGTTATTATTCCCTCCCTCTTCTTTCTCTACCAAACCTTGATTGTTTAAAACATTTGCTTCAATTGACAATTTGTGGTTATAATCACAAAATCTTGTTCCTCTTGGCTTTTAAATGATTATTGCACCCAAATAATGTTTTTTAATTGAGAACAAAGATGTATTGTCCTGCCAGTCAGGCTCCCTCGGCAGGACCAATAGGATTACAAAAACTTTTTAGTATTTTCAGTCAGTTTGTTTTTGGGGAGAACAGGCATGACATCCACCCTGCTCTGGGGAAAGCGCTGCCGCTTTGCCGACTGCTCCCTGCTCCTGGGAGAAATCCCTCTGCCTGCCCAGCCTCTCCAGCACCCTGAGCCTGAGCCCACATGTTTTCTCTTCCTCAGATATGTGCAGCAGCCAGCACCAGCCCCTGGAGCTGGTTTCCAGGAGGGCTCAGGGATTGGCAGCACGGTGGGCAGGCTCCAGCATGGCTGCACACACAGGGGCTGCCCGACGGGCTGGGCATGGGGATGTGGCTCAATGCACCCCAAATGCCTGGAATCAGAGGGAGTGAGACAGGGAGGATGCATGGTAGGATTTTTTCCTCTGTTTGCTCCTTGCTTCCAGACCGTCAACCTGCTGCTAAGGTTGAGTGTGCTCGGCTCAGTGCTTTAAAATGGCAGATATCCAGAATCTCAGATATATTTCATGACTTCAAAGACATTTCTTCTCTCCTTCTCAGCCACATCCTTAAGCTCATGATGACAGCGTTATGAGTGGGATAGTTAGAGAGGTATAAGGGTAAGGGACTGATCCTGTGCCCATTGCAGTCAGCAGAGAGAATCCCCCTGACTACGTGTCTTTGGATCCCACACCCTGTGACCTGGCTGCTCTTCCCTCTCAGATCCTGATGGCACTCGCATGGCCAGCATTGCCATCCTACTCAGGCAGCTTCCTCGCCTTCATTGGCACTCCTCTAAGAGGAAGGTTTACTGAGCAAAAGTCTTGAATATGCCTTCCTTGTGTTGTAAAGAAACAGAGTCCGAGTGCTTATTTTGGTATTTACAGTATTTTCCTTTGTCTTTCTCCCCTTCTGGAATTGACTGTTCCTGACCTTGTTTTATCAATTCATATCACCATTTCAATTGAAGTTCAGTATGTGCAGCTACATGTCTGTATCACCATTAAAATACTACATTTGTGTATGTCCACGATGAAATGATTTTATGTTCTAAGCCGATTGTTCTGATAATCAGGCACACTTTTCTTTCAATAATGTTGATTCCAAGATACCTTCATCTTCAAACAAAAACAGGACACTTTTATCTTTTTTATGGAACTGTAGAATGCTTCAATCTTTGTTTGCCCTATAAATGTGTTTAGTTGGAAAACCTTTAAAAAGTTATATTTGGAGTATTTTTAAGTAGACAATGTCCGTATTTTTAAGTAGACAATGATCCTTTTTTCATTTAGGTAATTCACAGAAATGAGCATTGCTTTTAGCAATGTAAAAATGTTATCACAGATAACTAAAGAACAGTAGTAGGAATACTGTACCTTTTTGCACAGCTAATAAATGTATTTGTGTGTGAAATCAAGATATGCTTTCACAGAAGTGGGGTTATGGGATGTTGAAATACTCAATCTTAGAATATTATAGATTTGCAAAAGTTGTATATAGGACCCAGTGAACACCCCCTAAATAACTTTATTTTTTAATAGTGGACTGAATGTTGAAATATGTTGTGTGTGAGGTTTTGGGATGCCCAGACAAAAAGGTGCCTTAAGGAAAAGCCTGCTGTTCCCTCTCTGCAGCAGCTCCCAGGGGTGCAGAGCCGGGGGGCCGGGCCCCACAGCAGCTGGGAGAGCAGAGCCAGGGCAGGAGCCAAGCCAAGGCACTGTGACTGCCCAGAGCATTAGTTCTGCCTGGTGGAGAGGGAGCAGGAGGCTGGTTTGGGATCTGAGCTCTGCCCTGAGCCTTTCTCAGAGTGGGGCCAGTGCTTTTCAGCTGCCATCCCAGAGTGTGGAGAAGTTTTGTGGGCAGAGCACTGGGAGAAGGCTCAGCCCTGTGCAGGATCTTCTGGGGCTTCATGAGTTACAGCAAAATTTAACACTCAAATTATACCCAGAAAATATGAGGCAGGTGAAGGTGGGTTCTTAGATCTATAACTATGTGCAAACCATTCTTTCAAGCACGGTAATGAATTATTAAGCAGTATAAATTCTACTGAAGAGTTGTTTGGGTGCTTTTTAACTCACCTGCACATTGTGCAGGTCAGCAGAGGAAATTATTCTAAAAGATAATCTGTAAAATGACGTGCCTTTTGTTTTACGAACTTGCACATCCTGGTGTCCATTTCTGAGGAGTATGTCATGTCTCCCAAGGGCTGATCATTACAAAACTTGACCTTTCCCTTCCACTGGGACACACAAAATCTTGTATGTCAGCATTACAACCTTCAAAATATTGAAAGAGTGTTGTGAACAAAGGGAGTTTTGTAGACATCTGAAACTTTTTGGTTTTGATTGTGAGAAATGAGGAACAGTGCTGTAAAAAAAGCTGTTATACTTGGGCGGGGCAAGAGGGATTAGGGAAGGAAGGTTTGAGTTTAGAAAACTCAACCAAGTCATGTAACTCACAATGTTTGCAACCTATGAAAATATTGATGACAGAATTGAAATTGTGTTATGCTGGCAGGTCACAGCTGAAATTGCTTATTTTGTCTCAGAGCATGGCTGAAGAGGCAGAGTATTTTACTAAAATACTGCTGTATTAATAGTAGGAAAGAAACAAGTACCGGAAAGGAGATACATATATATGTATATATATATATATTCCAAATACTTACAAGGTATCTCATTTGGGGGCATGCATTAATTTGGTAGATTCCGATTCTCAGACTGGCAATAATGATTGTTACTGTGTGTCCTTTATGACTTTCAGAGCGAGAGAGGCCAACTTGAGGAGCATGCACACTGCGATACCCTCAGTGGTAAGTACCTGAACTGCAATCAAGTTTATTACATTTTTGTAGAGTGGAGGCCTTTTCAAGACCACACTTGATGCAGCTTAGTCACACAACAGCTTCAAATGGCATTCTGGAATAGTAGGGCAGTAATGTGATACAGTCCATAATGAAAATCAGTGTACAGCACAGGTGGTTGCAAGCATTTGTGTGGTCAGATATAAAACCTTTGCTATGGGTACAAGCTACTGCTTTCCCACTTGAGGAAAGTATAATTAGAAGTGGTTTCCAGATGTGCTGGCACACATCTGCTGTTTTTAAGAGAAAATTTTTCAAATACAAACTGAGCTGTATTGCATTCACCGTTATAAAGCCGTTGATGGTTTTTCAGGTAATAAAAAGATTGGAGGCATCAACACTCCCACTGTAAAACTGAGGTGTCCTTAGACAACAGCATTTTGTGTTCACTTTGTTTTCTTAGGATTTTCTAAGAGTTGTTCTTAGTTGAGCTGTGGCAAATATGCAAAAAATTTTCTGGACAAAAATTAACACTTTTTTAATGAAAACATGATAGTGGATTCCTTGCTAGTGATTTCATTTTTTACCAGATAGATGTAGCAAATTTATATGGCTTTGCTTGTTTGTTTAATTTTGGTGAAGTGAATAAATGATATTGTAAAACATTAGTAATGAACAGTGAATAATTGATAGTAAAACATTAGGATTCAGTTTCTTTAAACAAATTTTCAAGATGTGGTAATAATCAGGAAACTAAAAAAAATATGATAATTGAAAATAGACATTTAATTTCACTTCACACAGAAAGCAGAAAAATATCTACTTACAGGCTTCCATGATGCATCCTTAGGTGAATTATCTGGAAAAAAATAAATGAGAAAAAAATTAGAAAATGTGATAGGCTTTAAAATGTTGCTGAGAGAAGATTATAGGTCTTTTGTTTTAGCTAAATAAACAGCCTGTTTTCCATAATATCCCACTGATTTTGGTAAAGCTAGTATTTCCCCTGGAAATCTTGTTAATAAAATAAAATCACTCTTTCAGAAGTAAGTTTTCACAGTTCCAGAAGTTTTAGTTACTGCTGCTACTTGGAATAAGCATAAGGGAAGAATGTTGTGTCTGCCTCCTTCTTACTGACTCTTCTAGCATTGCAGAGGTACCCACAACTATGATTTTGAGTTGGTTTTGAAAGAAATGAAGGATGTGATCTACTGGGACTATTGGACAGGCTGCTAAATGTTGAAAGAAGGTTTTTGAGGATGTCCTCTGTAATATTGCCACACCTTTGCTCATATTTTCTTTACTTACTTCCACAGATGTGCCCTGTAGGCTTCCTTTTCAAGTGAGAGTCTAATCCTTAGCAATTATCTTAGGGAAATACTGACACTGAGTAAATCAAATGGATTTTTGGATTTTTCCTCTTAGTTGGACTCTCTCATACAGCAGCTTCTTTTTTCATTTAAATCTTTCTTTTTTGACTAAGCAGAATCTAAATTATCTTTTTGAGTGTGTAAATGTCAGAATAATTTGCAGAAGATTTTGTTAGAAAAATGGCCACTGAGATCAAATAATTTTTAATATAAAACTTAACATATTGTCCGTACTTAAGTTTTTGGATTAGCTTTTCTGTCTGACACCTTTTAAGTTCTTACAAAGGCATTGATGGATTCAGTGAGGGATGCACAAAGCAACCTCAGTAGCAAATTGCCCTGTGTGTTTGATTTTTCTGGAATAACATAATAACTTGCTGTGGTCCTGGTGCTGCTAAACAAGAATGCTTTGGCTTTAACAATTTCAAGCCTCTGAGACAAAGGGTCCAGATCAGCTCATTGCATCTGTGAATGGGGACTTCTTAAGGATGCAATGAAATGGATGACAATCAATAAGAAGGATATTAATCACATCATAGTGAAAATGCTGATTTCATCAATACTGCCAGTACATCTGACCTTTTTCTTTTAATGCATACACATTGTGATGGCTATGGTATATTATAAATGTTCTATCGTGGCACAAAGACTTCAATTTTGTGCTCCCAGTGACAGTTTTTCAAGGATATATTTACTTACACATACATTTAATATTAAACCACATTTAAATCACTGCTTGCTCAGGAGGGGGGATTTTAGCACTGAACTGTTGTGTTTGGGTATTTTTCTGGCAAAATGCCATTTGACATGAAACTTAGAAATGCCTAAAAGAATACAGACATTCAGATGTGAAAATGTGCAAAATGAACACTACCTGGCACTTAAATTACGCTCTGCTGCAATTAAGACTTGTTAATAGCCAGTCCTCTGAGCTGGCTGCTCACATCAGAGACCAGCCCTGGCCAGACCCTCACAGTTTTGTACATAACCATTTTGTATAAAGGGTCAGTTTCTACAGAAGGTCTGGTGGCTTAGTCAAAAGAAGTAGCTTATTGGGAAAAAAAAAAAAAAAGATTATTTAAATGTTGGGAAGGCAGCAGAATTTTGAGTGCTTTTGGACTATTCACATTCCTATTATTTGGAAAATAAAATAGCATTTTATTCCCCCTGAGTGGGGGAGATGTGGAAGAGTGTTTTGGGGCTGTGCATCAAGGGGCATGAAAAAGGAACTTCATTGGATGGCAAAGATGGCAAAGATCCTGCCCTGACCCATAGATGGAGGAAACAACCCACCAAAGGGGTGTGACCCCTCCAGGGCAGCAAACCTGCCCAGTGTAGCTCAAACAGATGAGGCGCTGCTCCCCTGGGGTATAAAGCTCTCCCAGACATACAGTACAGTTCTGTATGAGGCCAGGGAGCTGATGACTGAGAGTGGAGAATCTGTTACATATATGTGATACCACTGCTGCTATGTACTGCCAGTTTGGCAAGGATTTCCTCCTCTGAGCCTATAATCCTGTTTTATAGGTAGTATTCCGGATGCAACAAGTGCAGTGCTCCCTATTTCACCCAGAAAGAGAATTGAGAGTCCCTGCTTGATGATGCATTTTATCTCCATTTAGAATCCTTTTTTAAATTATATTTTCTTGGGCTTTGGACTGTTGATGTTAATATTTTCTTGTAAATCAGGAGCATTGCCAGCACTTTTTATGCCTCCCAGATACCCACTCTTCACCTTAAATTAAATACTTCAGGCTGTGTCTTCACAATCAGTTGCCATAAGAATATGGTCTATAATGTTAGAAGTTTTGGCTAATGCCTTGGGAAGACTAAGCCACAGGAAAAAAAATAATACTCTTTAATATTAAGACTGATTATGAAAAGTATGTCCCTAGGATGAAAAAATTCAGGGAGGAAAAAGACACATTCAAAATATTGCTAAAAAATCTTCGACTATTTTGATGAAATGACTTTACAGAACTTGAAGACAGATCAAAATGAATTATTACATGAGTCAAGATTTTTTTTAAGTTCCATAACTTTCTGATCTCTGAAATAGAAAAAAGTATAAACTATCATTTTTCTTATAAGTAAAGGTCAAGTGGAAGGTGAATCAGATCAAGTTATATATTTATATCAGAATATATTGAAATATTTCATTTTGTCATGTTTTTCTACATCTATATTAGTCTTTGGGAGAAAGAAAACCAAAAAGATAATTTAGACTTGAAACCAGAACTTTTTAATCCATAAAATATTTAAATAGATTATTTAAAAAATTTCAGAATTTTTTAAACAATTTTCAAAACCTTCCCTGCTTTTTTAAATGACAAGTAAATGGACACATTTCCTTGCAAATAACTTTATTTTTAAAGAAATAGCCTTTTTTGGAGGCAAAATTGTTAAAAAATATTTTCTGCTTACTCCATCATGTGACAAATGCATATTTTGCACTTCTTCAGTTGTTGTGCTTATGAGTTTGTACCATGTGAAATATTAACAAATTCTCAGTTTCAGCTGTGAAAATGAAGAAAATTAAGCTTCTTAGAAAATTAAGGTCATGAGAGTAGAAACACATGGAAAATCTAGTTTCAAGGGCTTTGCCTGTGGACAAACGTCATATGCTCATGGAAATAAGACCACTGAAACCATCAGAAGTGGTGTGCTTAGTGCTTTACTTGAGGTCAATATGTGTTACACCACTATAAATATAGTATATGAGACCTGCACACAGAGAGTTACACTGCAAATAATCTTGAATACAGCCATGCAGTGATTGCTTCCCTGAGCTTTCACCTCCTTTGGTGAAACCTGTGCAGGGACTTGTGCAGCCAGAGCAGGGTGAGCAGCAGCAGGACAGAGTCCCTGGGACACCAGAGGTGTTCTGCAGGGAAACTCCACCCCCCTCTGTCCAGCCGGGTGGCTCTGATCACTTGCCTGCTCCCAAGCCCTCCATCAAACTGGGCTGAAATCCCTTGGTATTTTGCTGCTTCCTGATATCTTCCTGTCTAAATGTTTCACTGTTGTTTAAGGAAGGCTTAAAGACACAGCTCTTAGTAGGCTTGTCATTCAAAGTGATTGTGCCCTGCTTTTTACAGGTCTTGTGAAGGAATATCTGCTTTCAGCCAGAAATGTGAGCACTGTGCCTTCTATTCTTGGGCAGGGTCATCACTCGTGGCAGTAGCACTGAGGACAAATATATCCCCTCCTCTCCTGTCTTGCATAACCATTTCTATTGTTTTTTAATTGAGTGCTTCAGAGTTGAGGTTGTTTCTGATCAGTGCTGATTCAGGTACTAGATGTACAGAAAAGCAAGTATGTTCTGAATATTATTTTCGCTTTTCTGTGAAGCAGATAGGAGAGGCTTTTATTTTGAGCTATCCAGTCTGTTATAGAACTGCCTTCCAATTCCAGGTGATTAAAGGGATATTGTATATCTCTGAGAAAAGAGCTTGAGCTCTTCAGGGGCAGAACACGAGTTTCTCTCTCTGTCAGGAGCTCAATAAAAATGCATGTCTGTGCAGTGTGTGCAGTTGCTGTTGACAGACAATCCCTGTTAGCTGGGACTGTGTTGGTAGTCTGGAGCTTGATATCCCATTTTGGGCACTGGACAGCAGGATGGGGGCAGAGTACAACGAC